TCATTTACCCTGGAATGTATTTGGAACTCAGTAGCTATGATTAAAACGGTGATCAATCGCTAGGGCAGTAACACAGAGCACTATCATTGTCACATTCCCGAGCAACATTTATCAAGTAACTGCGAGTAATTTTCTCTCCTGTTTGTTATGAATCTTGTGATCAAATATTATAATGATGACAATTATTAAATGAAGTAAATTAAACAACTTAAAATAATAATAATAATAAAATAAATAAATAAAATAAGAATAATATAAACTAGGTAGTAAAATCTCCATAAAAAAAAAAAGAAAAAAAAATCCATAAAAAAAAATAAAAAAAATAGATCTCCAAAAACAGTAATAATAATAATAATAAATTAAAATAGAATAAAATAAAATAAAATAAAATAAATTAAAATTAAAAAAAAATTAAATAGAATAAAATAAAATTAAAATAAAATTAAATTAAAATTAAAAAAAAGGGGGGGGGGGAAGCAGTGAGATCCAATGCTGAAGTAGGTCTAGGGGTACCCAATGCGAGACACATGGTGAAGCAACATGTGGTCAAGGGAGAAAGAATGGGAATGAGGACAAGTGTCGGATTGCAACTACGTTATGGCAAAGGTGTAACTATAACAATCAATAATACAGATTATACCAGCAACAATAATCAATTGGAGTGTTAACGATAGTTAGAAATTTGCAAGTGTTCAAGACTAAGACTGTCTAGCATTAATACACATTAATTATACTCGCATCAATAATGACACAGTGAATTACGGTCAATTAGCTCAAATAAACAACAGATATAAAAACGAAGTATAAATACTATAAAAAATAAAATAAAATAAACAGGTAAACAGAGACATTAATTGCCCTAAAGGCTGAGACCTTTTGGGGGCTGGGCTATGATAACATAATGGGGGGGTCTAATGTTAGGGATATCCAACAGTTAATGTCGGTTTCTTCTGATAGGAACCCAGGCATGGAGGAGGAAGCCATATCCCTATATCCACCAACTCCTCGCCCTCGAAGGCACCCCTTCCCCTATGGGGGGGGGAGTGGAAGGTTTCCTCCCTCTAGCTGAATGGTTACCTTTTCTGCAGTCCCTTCCTGACCAATCCTTTGCAGCTTTTCTGGCTCGAGGGATAGGCAGTGGTTTTCGAATTGGGGTCGATAGAAATCACCAACTGCAGGCAGAGAAGTCCAATCGCCCATCTGCCCGAAAAAACGAGGGCATCGTGTCGGCCTATATTCAGGAGGAATTTGGGGGGGGAAAGCTACGTTTAGCAGCCCCTAACGAAGTCGTGCATGTCAGTCCAATTGCCATAATACCAAAAACAAGCCAGCCGGGGAAATACCGCCTAATCGTGGATTTGTCTGCTCCAGATGGTAGCAGCGTAAACGATGGCATTTCCCCCGCCCTTGCCACCCTGTCATACACATCAGTCGACGAGGCCGTGGCAATGGTAATCGAGGCAGGTCAGAGTGCCTGGATGGCAAAACTTGATATTCAGTCGGCCTATAGGAAAGTACCCGTTCATCCAGCTGACCAGCCGCTGCTGGGTATCCACTGGAGGGGCGTAACGTTCTGCGATCGAGCCCTCCCATTTGGCCTACGGTCAGCACCTCTGTTGTTCACGGCAGTGGCGGATGGCCTTTCATGGGCCATGGAGTGTTGCGGGGTCCACAACCTGATCCACTACCTCGATGATTTTTTCTTCTGCTCTAGGGCGGAGTCCAGCGAGTGCGAGCAGGCATTGAGGACTGCAGTGAATCTCTGCCAGCGCCTGGGCTTACCAGCAGCCCCTCATAAAGTGGTAGGCCCTTGCACAACCATCACATTTCTGGGAATCGAAATTGATTCATGTCGGTGGGAGCTACGGCTGCCCGAGGATAAACAGACTCGCCTAATGAGCATTCTTCAGGAATGGAAGCATGACAAGAGACAGTCTGTAACAAAGAAACAGCTCCAGTCCCTGGTGGGACTATTGAACTATGCAGCACGCATTGTTCGGCCTGGAAGGCCATTCACACGCTCGCTCATTGAGGCCTCGAAAATCCCACAGGAGCCGGATCACTGGGTCCGATTAAACGTGGAATGTAGGTCCGATATTAGTTGGTGGCAGGAATTCCTGCGTTTCTGGAATGGTCGGTCATTCTACCCAGGTCGCCCATGGGCGGCTACGGTGTACTCCGACGCATCCGGACGTTGGGGTTGCGGCGCCGTGTGTCTGCCAGTGGGCCAGTGGTTCCAGGTTCAGTGGCCGGAGTCCTGGTACTCAATCTCCATTGCAGCAAAAGAATTGCTTCCCATTGTCGTTAGCGTAGCTGTATGGGGGCGAGAGTGGGCTGGCCTCAGGGTACTAAGCCGGTGTGACAACGACGCAGTGGTCGCATGTCTGCGATCGGGTTCAGCAAAGGATCCTTTGTTAGCCCACCTGCTAAAAATTTTGGCGTTACTCTCCGCTCTGCATAAAATTCAATTGGTAGCAGTGCATGTTGCCGGCCGCTCTAATGGAGCGGCTGATGCTTTGTCTCGGGGTAATTCAAAGTTATTTTTTTCTCTCATCCCCCAGGCCAGTCGGGCTCCTCGCACAGTGCCAGCACAGCTACTCGAGCTGTTGTGGGATCGGGAGGCAGCTTGGACATCAGAGGACTGGATGCAGAGGCTAGACGCCTTTTTGTTGCTGGACTTTCAGGAAGAACAAAGAGCACCTATGGCTCAGCAAAGAGGAGGTACGTGCAGTTCTGCGTCAGGGCCGGCATCGACCCACTCCCAATAACGGAGCAGACGGCGTGCCGTTTCGTGACCCACCTATATCAGGAAGGTTTACGCCCGGGTTCAATCTCGGTCTATTTGTCAGCCCTTCGGCACTTAAGTGTTGAGGCCGGGTTGGGGGTAGTCTCTCGTGAGTCATGGCCACAATTATCCTACGTGGTTAAAGGGGTGGAGAGAGAAAACAGAGATACCCCACCCAAACAGAGGCTCCCAATCACGCTAGACATCATGGAAAAGCTCAAAGCTGCTTGGGAGTCGGGGCTGGAGGACCAATTTACTGCACGCCTGCTGTGGGCAGTAGCATGTACTGCATTTTTTTGGCTGCTTTAGATTAGGGGAACTCCTCCTGTCTAAAGGGACAGAAGTGCCGGCAGTGGGTGATTCAGATATTTTTTTCCATAGGGTGGGCTCTCGATCGTGGATGGTAATTGGTTTACGTTTTTCAAAAACTGACCAAAAGGGCAGGGGTACCAAGGTCCATATTGGTGCTACATCGACAGATATCTGCCCAGTGGTTGCCCTTCGGAACTACATGGTGGTCCGCCCAGCTAGACAGGGGCCTGTGTTCGTGAGAGTAGATGGCTCCCCCTTACTTAAATCAACCTTTGTTCAATTGGTTAGGAAGGCTCTGCTCCATAGTGGGGTGGGGCAAGCATCATTCTCCGGCCACAGTTTTCGAATAGGTGCGGCCACTGTGGCTGCAGAGGCAGGAGTTCCAGTCCACCTACTAAAAGCAATGGGTCGATGGAACTCAGATGCCTACCTCGCATACGTCCGGACCTCACCGGAGACCCTCGTATCACTGGCGCCAAAAATGGTGTCAGGCCGGCAATGTTAGGGACTCATTTATGTATTTCAGTTTTCTGGTGTCTTTGTCATTGTTATGTTTATTTTGTCATTTTTTTTTTTTTTGCCCATGAGTTCTCATTCACCATATGCGAAGTATCTAGTGCCTTCTTGTCAACCCAGTACACTCACACCAACACTCCTTACTCATACAAACTTCCCGAATTGGGAGGTTTTGGGGCGTGGCTGTAAGTCCTAACCCTTGGTCAGGCCTCCCAGCCGATTTTCCATTATCTTGGCATGCATTTACCCTTCTACATGTTAGTGGAGGGAGTGATCAGTTTAGGGTTGTTATAACTATTGTTATCTAGTGTTGTGCTTTAGCATGCGTATAGCCCTAAACTATAAGCCTCCACTGTAACGAGGGGTACAATTAGAGGTTGTTATAATCGGCTGATTGGGAGGATGTAATTTCAGGGGTAAGGATTGAGGGCTAGGCCCTGCAATTACAAGACAGGCTTCCTATGAAGGCAGCTTGTCTTTAGGGGGTGGGGTGAGCTCAAGGGTCGCATCAAGGTAAGTGTGAGGAAGGGCCCTATGGTGTGTGGTATGTTGGGCCAATATCCCTTGGTGGGCTTGCAGGGAGTTAATTGACATTTAGAGAGTTTTAAATGAGGTTAACGCCCACAAGGTCTGCGCATGCGTAGTAGTTGAGCGATCTGAGAGCAAGAAGAGTCTGCTTCGAACTTGGGAGTTCAATAATTTCCCTCCTCCCACCACTGGTGCAGGAGAAAGGGAATTTGATAAGGAAAAAGGGGGGGTTCCACTGGGTTACTTCCCAGTGTGAAGTGGGGCGTGGCTGTAAGTCCTAACCCTTGGTCAGGCCTCCCAGCCGATTTTCCATTATCTTGGCATGCATTTACCCTTCTACATGTTAGTGGAGGGAGTGATCAGTTTAGGGTTGTTATAACTATTGTTATCTAGTGTTGTGCTTTAGCATGCGTATAGCCCTAAACTATAAGCCTCCACTGTAACGAGGGGTACAATTAGAGGTTGTTATAATCGGCTGATTGGGAGGATGTAATTTCAGGGGTAAGGATTGAGGGCTAGGCCCTGCAATTACAAGACAGGCTTCCTATGAAGGCAGCTTGTCTTTAGGGGGTGGGGTGAGCTCAAGGGTCGCATCAAGGTAAGTGTGAGGAAGGGCCCTATGGTGTGTGGTATGTTGGGCCAATATCCTTTGGTGGGCTTGCAGGGAGTTAACTCCACCAAATTTTCTAGCTATATGGTAATTATATTAGTACCATAATAATAGTAATGGAATCTTAAGATTTTTTCTACACTTTTATTTTATAACAATAAATAACTATTAGTCAGTTTGTTGACAAAGTGAGAGAGAGATAGTGTGTTCAAGAGAGAGAAAGGAAAGATATTTTATTGAACGACTACTTTAATATTTCATTACACAATTGTTGCTATAATCAGCAACATAAATATATCCATCCTTATCCAGTGCTATACCAAATGGATCATTCAATCCTGAGATTAATTCGACTTCTTTCCCGTCAGGACTCAATGCATAAACACAAGACTTGCTACTACCCTCGTAAGTCAATACTAAGATATGTCCATCATCATCAACAGCAATACCTTGAAGATACTCAGAGCCACTATGAGGATTATTGTATGTATCAAGATGCATTTTACCATCAGGAGAGAAGACTTGAACATGACCGAGATTATTGTAAAATGTAACGTGTATCTTTCCTTTGTTATCAACTGCTACATCAAATGCATTACCATCACATTGTATGACTTGTACAAATGTACCATCTTCTTTAAACACTTGTACTCTATTGTTGTTGTAATCAGCTACTAATATATTACCTTTACCATCAGTAGACATACCATGAGGATTAGAGAATTGTCCATTGCCATTACCTTCACTACCAAACTGACCAATATACTGACCAGTAGTAGCTGAGAAATACTGCACACGATTAAGAGTATCATCAGACACATAGAGCCTGTCTCCTACCAGCAATAAACCCCAAGGACATTCGAACTGTCCATTACCATTACCTTTAGATCCAATCCTTCTTACTGCAGTACCATCCTCACTAAATACCTGAACAAACCCATCATGACTACTAGCAAATACTTCACCATTAGTATGAACAGCAACACCACCTGTATAATTCTCCACATTAAAGGATCTCTGGTTAGTTAGTGCGGTATAGTCTCTTGATGCTTTTACTGACAGTTGATAAGGACTACCTTTAATATGGTGACCTCTTACAGTCACTGATAGTTCATACCCACCAATACTTTGAGATGTGCATGATACAATGGCTGTGTTGTTATCATTAACTATAACAACTCTACCCTCCTCTTTACTACCATCACTTTTGATAAAGGAAGCCTTCAAATAGCTTGCTGCTTTATCAATGCCTGCTGGTAGAGACACTTTGAATTTCCTTTCTTTCTTTACTGTTGCCAATGGAATAGCTAACCCACTATCAATGGAATAAATTGATGGGTCAAGCTGCTCAAACTCAAAAACACTTCCAAACTCATTGATTTCTTTACTTAAAATAGATGTATCTAGACGTGTTAAAATGGCTCCTTTGTCTTCTATTTCTAGAGGTAGTTTCTTATACTCTTCAATGCATTCCTCTAGTTGATTGGTGATTAGCTTCTTAACACTGAGAACTTCACCTGGATCAGTACGCTCACTCACTGATGATGCAAGATGACGACCATGAGAAACCTGTTTTACCAGTTTACGAAACCCGTCCAACTGCTTCTTAACAGAATTCCTCTTAGCACTAGCAATCTCTTCTGTCTCCATTAGTAGAGCATTACATCTCTTTTCTAAAGCAGCTTTAAGCTCTTCAAACATTTCCTTGATTTCCTGCCTTACTTCTTCTTTACGTGTTGCTATCTGCTCTAGCATCTTCTCTCCATTAGCAATAGCTTCAGTGACTGGAGGAATGACTCCAGCACAACTAGCAACACTTTCCTTTAATGCTTTACGTGCTGTTTCTCCTACATCAATGTAATCTTCTATGTTGTGATCCTTGTGTTTGATAGGCAGGCAGTTAGGACAGACTAATTTCTCGCAATTGTTACAATAGTAAATCAGCTTTTGATCTGTATGCCGATCACAATATCCCTCTTTATGCTTAACAGTAGGCAGTTTGATGGATTCCTTTGTTTCTAGATCAATTAGCTTGTGATTTGCTTCTATCCTGCTTCTTTTATGACTTTTCTTACAATGATCACACAGAAACTGGCCACAATCACAGCAATACACGACAGCTGCATCACTGGAATCATCAACGATACATTTATCGCACGATATTGCTTCCTTGCTAACAATCTTCTTTTTGATCGAAGCCTCTTTTGATTCATGTTCAAACCAAAGGTTTTGAGTCAGGCCTTCAATTTTACCATCAGGTAAATTAACGCTAGTGTCACACGTTGGACACTTTAATGAGGTATCAGCACTATCTTGCTTCTCTTTAGCTTTTATTAGACACTTCTTACAGAATGAGTGAAGACAGGGAAGCATGAGGGGGTCAGTGTAATACTCTGAACAAACCTCACAAGTCATAGTGATAGCTGGACTTGTGTTTTCTGCCATTATTACCTATGAGAAAGCGAATAATCTTCTGATAACTGATAATATCTAACACACTTAAGCTGTAATTGCTGCTGCTTCAAATATAACTTTGCTTGTACTGCTGCCTCTTCAGAGCCTCTTCTTTTGCTTGTCTATGAGCCCCGCCCTTGTTTGCGTGATTTCTGTTGCTAACACCCCCGCAATATTAATTGGTCTTGATCCGCCCACAAGTCACACATGGGGTCCAATGGTGATGCTGGTTTCAAGGTCTCAGTGGAATCACTCCATACTACAAGAGTCAAGGAGATCAACTATGATGGAGAAGAGATATATGAAGGGTAACAGTCATTTATTATAATAATACAGAATGCAATTAATTGAGTAGATGTTATTTTCTCATTATTTTCTTGACCGAGGTTTTAATTTTGATTGGGAAGTTCTAAATTAAAGTGACATAAAATTAATTACATAAAAATACTTATAGCATGCAAATGATGCAGTTATATGTATAATACGTTGTACATAAGA